AGCGGGGGCGGGCGGCGCTGGCGAGCCAACCGGGGCCCGGCGCGGCGCCGTGAGTCACCAGCGGGCGCGCAGGGCGGCCGGGCGGCTGCTATAAGAGCGCCGCGGGGACGGCCTCCCCCCGTGCATGTCTCCGGCTGCCGCCTCTGCTCCTCGTCTCTCCGCCCGCGGCGCCTGCCTGCCCGCGCTCCCCGTCCCCGGCGCGGCGATGCGGCTGGACCGGCAGCGCGGAGACCCGATCGCCACGGCCGACGGACCCAGAGCCGGACCCGGGCGCGGTGCGGGACGCCGGGCGGTCCCGCGCTGCTGGGCGCTGCTGCTGCTGCTCGCCCTCGGCTGCCTGCGCGCTGCCGCCGACGGTGAGTGCGGGGCCRGGGCGCGCACCCCGGGGCAGAGCCTGCCGCAGCCCCCCGCGGCGGTTTCATCTCCCACCGCCCTTTCCTTTTCCCTCACTCTCATTATTCTCTCCCGCTCTCTCGGGCCGCCTGCCCGCTGCCCCGGGGGGAGCGGGGCGGGCCCGTACTCCCGGGTGGGCGCAGGGGCGCTGCCGCCGCGCTTGCCCCGCCGCCCCCCTTGCCGGGCGAGGCGCCGCCTTCCCCGCGGGGCCCGGGCGGCGGGAGCCGTGAGGGGGCACCGGGATCCGGGCGGCACGTCTCCCGGGAGCCCCCCGCCTGCTGTGGGGGAGAGGCGGGGGGGTCGGCTTCCAGATCGGTGCTACGGGAGGGGTCTGAATGGCTGGGGCGAACGCGGGAGGGTCGGGGAGGATTGCGGCTCTGTTGTGGAGGGAGAAAGAGGAGCGCTTGGGAAGCTGGCGGCATTAAAGGTGCTGTCAAACTGCGGTGCAACTTAGGCTTTGTGTTAGCCAGCGGTGCTGGCATGGCTCTAGTTGAGGGCCCGGGGTAACCACCATGAGGGATCTCCACCTGGTGGCAAGGCTGAGTCCTGCCGGGKCTGAGCGCTCGCCAGTAGCGCTGCCCGTGGCCAGCTCCAAGGCTGCCTCCCGGCGTAAAGGCTGTGGCCCCTGTGGCAGGGGTGCTGCACACTAAGCAATTGGATGGTCTTATTTAAAAATATCTTACTCTTAAGTTAATACGAGTTAATAATCATATATCTGACTCCTTTATTCCTTGAGGAGCTGAGCTCCAGGCTACTCTCTCAGAGGGGGTGGGGAGTTGATGGCTGCATTGTCGCATGGCTCTTAAATCTCCTAAGAAGTCTATTGTCTTGAAGTAGGCCTTAGTGTGAGATCTTGGCTGTTTCCTGTAACTGTGCAGTAGTTCAGAAACCAGATCTGTCGGGTAGAGCCCTGCCAGCATGTTGTTGTATCCAGTCCTCATACAAAGAGAGAGAGGAAAAATGTCTGCCTGGTCACCTCTCATCTCCCAGTCATGTAAGTTGCTCCCATGCCTGGTCTAAAACAGAAGTGGTTAAACTGCTGTAGTAAGAAGGACCAAGCTGGCTGGCACTGAAACTGCTACTGTGCTGTGCTCAGGGATCATCACAAGAGATACGCAGTGGAGGGTAATTAGTAGACTAGCTAAACAAGTTTGTCTGATTGTTCCCTGAATTTGAGTTAGTGACCCCATCAGCTCTCTTCCACTAGTAGTTGCAATTACCAAGGTCTGGGAAAAGTTTAAACTAGTTGCTGTATGAGTTCTTGCAAGGTTTCCCAATCACGGTTGGAAGCTTTTCTGGGACTTGGTGTCAGATGACAGTACACAAGTGTCACATGTTTGAAGCTGCCCAGACAAGTAATCTGGCAACTTGCTTAAGGGGCTGAGACTAACAGTGATAGCAGATATATGGAAAAAGGTGGTTTAACTTGGGTAGTCAGTGTAACTGTGYTCCTTCACCCTACACCCATTACTCTTTATGAGCCAACTTCTAGTAAGTAGTTACCTGGGGAATAGTAAAATAATGTATGTTAACAGTCACGGGCTCTGATGTTACTGGTTCTCTACATTTTTTAGCCTAAGCTGTATTCCAAGGAGGAAAAAATGTGTGAAGGTGCTTCTAGTTTGTGAGTGGCACATAAAGAGAAGCTTTGAATTGGTGGCTAATTGATGCTGATCCAAAAATCATTAGATGTCTGGTGACTGAAGGTGCAGCAGAGGTGTAACTCTTGCTTGAAGCAGCAGTGGATTAATCTGCCTAACTAAATGGTTACCTGGCATCGCAGAACTGTGCTTGATGTAAGACAGGGGATCAAAATTACTGGCTGTAACTAACCTTCATCTTAACCAGAGCTCATTTCAAGTGGCCTTTAGAGTTTGACAGACATCTTCAGCAGCAGTAGCAGATGCTGACCTTTACCTTTGTGCACCTGTGTGGGTGTTAGGTCTYGTCAAATTTTTTACTTGTTTGTAGGCTATCAAAAGGGGTTGCTCTGACATTTCTCTTGGTATCAGCTGCAGTAGCAATGATACCTTCTTGGAATGGTTCATTGTTAGGACTGTGATTTTAAAGTTAATAGTGTTACTCCAAGCTTAGCTGTGGTTTCCGTTAGCCTTGACTGTAGCTTCCCTGTAGCATTTGGTCAAAATGATGTTTGTAAGTCACAATGTACTCAGCAGTCTTTGCGAGCCTTTTCTGGTTATTCTAGCTTGAACTAGAGTAACTAAGGACTGTGGAGTTATTTTGGGATCTCCTTAGTGGCAGGCTTAGTCTAATATCTGTATGCTATTTTGGGAAAGGGTGACTGTTCTCACTCTGAATGCCTGGATGAGAAAGTCCCAAAACTAGCAGGACTCAGTTATTGCATATTTTATATAGTAGTATAGTAAAATCTGGGATAATCAGGGCTTGCAACTCTAACCTTCTTTTACAGRTTGCTGGACAACAAGGTGGTATCAGGCTTAGAGCAAGCTACTATTTGTGGCATCTATTCTCACTCTTGGGTGGTTGGGTTGTTCCTTTAAGCACGTGGCAAGCTCATTGATTGACAGCTCATGACCAGGCAGTAGTAGCTTTACGAAACCAYGCTGTTAGAAAGTGTGTGCTGGTGTAATTCCCAGCCAGAAAAGGAAATGGGGGATGGAAACAGTAAACACAAGAGCTGATGTTCTGATTTTTTGGTATTCTTTGAATACAGTTCCCATGAAAAAAGTTTATAGCTTTTCTCTGACAAGTGGGTTACTGCTTTACTCCACTAGTAAGGCTACTAAAACATTAGCAGAACTCAGTACGATGCTGTCTCCCATCTTTGACTTTGATCATGAATTTATATGCGATATTCAGCAGATAGGATTGCTCATGTTGTTCTTGCTTGTATTGTCCAGCATTTGGGAGTGCCTAATGCCCAGTGGCTAGCCAATATAATGTAAAATGGCTGAATGTCTTCCTTCTACTTGGAAACTGTTGCATTTTACACATCATACAGAGAGGATATAAAATAGCAAATAATACTTGACTAAAATTTTATGTGTTCTGAGCTCTGAAATGCCAGGACAAAGCACCCTCACTAAATGATGCAATAAACCAAGAAGGATCAGGAGTCTTGCATCGTGCTGTAGGCATGTGCAGCCAGTGCTAATGCATGGTCTTACACACTTGCCTGCGTGCATTAAGTGAAACAGCTCTGGCTTAGCTGCTGAAGATGCAGGCTGCTGCTTTTTAGTGATGGATATAACAGGGCTTCCAAGACAAAGCCTGTTCCCTTGAGGGATGGGGTTATACAGTTGTAGAGCTGAAGATACTCTGGAAAATGCACCTCTAAGGATCTTGCAGAAAGCAGTATCTTACTCGAGCGTACTAAAAAATCAAGACTTACCACTTGTGAGATGATGGACTGGATTCCAGAAAGAATTGCACTCTTAGCATCACACTTCTTTTAGTGAAAACTGAGGGATGTCTCTGGGTGCTGCTGTTTGAGGGGTGACATAAAGCATGAAAACTTGCTCAGCTGCAAAGCAGTTACCTAAGCTACCATTACAGAMATCTCAGGGATTCTGCTGTAAAGTGTTAGCAGCAGATCATTGAAATGCTAATCCATCTTGACATTAATCAAATTTGAACCCAGTTTGATTAAAGTTTGAGGAGTTTGAGGAATTTTGAGAATGCAGTGCTAGGTGCAAGACAGCAGAAGTAATTGTGGACACAAATTTTTGCAGACTTGACCCTGCCTTGAAGACGAAAACTGAGTAAGAACAGCACTGAGACTGCTACTGTTTGGCAGGTGGATTGTCATGGTGCTTAAACTCTGTACTTGCACTGTGGAGGAAAGCTTTTGGCTTTACTCTCATGATTGAATAATGTGACTACAAAGATTTGGAGCTCAGATGTGTTTTCATGTTGATGTTACACTGTTTATTATGCTGAGTATTTCTTGATCAGCAGCAGAGAAGGCAAGAAAGTATTGCTTAATAGTATCAGGGCTTAGGTTCCTTTTTCTCATTGAAGGTGCGAGAGCAAAATGTGAAGAATCCCAATTCGCATGTAGTAATGGCCGCTGTATTCCTCAGCTCTGGAAATGTGATGGTGATGAAGATTGTTCAGATGGCAGTGATGAAAGTTCTTGTGGTAAGTAATGCAAATACCTCTGCAGTAGTCCTTGCTAGTTGAAGTGGGGATTTAGCAGTGCATAGCAGGAGGGATGTTTATCCTGTCTGGCAATGGAATACAGAGACAAATTCCTTAGAACAGCCACCTTTGATGCCTTGTATCCATCCAAGGCAGCTGAATTTTCCGAGTGTTACCTAACTGTCCTGAAATTGGCAACTGAGACAAAGCTTGTGACCAAAATTCTTCACTTGTGAGCGTGATGACTGACAAGAACAGAATATAAGCCTGTTCTCAGTTGTTTCTTGAATACATAATAGAAAATGTTTGCTATTAGCACTCTGCTGTTGGCTATTCCATTGTTAAATGCCGTGTTTTATATGTGAAAATGATTCTTCTGAGTCTCCTGTAAACATTAAGTGTAGCTTTGGCTGCCTACCCTTGCTTTAAACAGACATAGAAGCCAAGACAGATGACTATTGTACTTGGAGACGAGGCAAAACATACTCAATATCCATCACTAGTGGTTGAACTGCAAGTCTGCTCAAGCAGACCTAAACTATTACCCTAGAGTTACATAGTACCGTGCTTCTGTAATGACAAATCAAATGCCTCGGATATGAACTCTTGAGTTCAAAACCTAAATATTAATATCAATAGACCTTATTTTAACTCAAGTCAGTTCAAAGCAGCAGCTAATATAGAGTAATCTGCTTAGTCTCCTTAGCAAAAGTGATCTTTCAGTGCCTGGTTAGGTGAATATAWATGTTTCTCTGTGTACTGAATAACTCTGTAGGAAGTGTTGAACAGCAGTGCTGTTAGGTTGGTGGGGGACAGCACCAGACATCCATGAGCCAAGGATATCAAATAACTTTCCTAGCACAATAAAGCTTATCCCTGTCAGTGATAAACAAGCTAAGCTCTAGTCTCTAAACAAGTGTTTTTTTCTTGCAGTGAAGAAGACATGTGCTGAATCTGATTTTGTGTGCCTCAGTGGTCAGTGTGTGCCTAACAGATGGCAGTGTGATGGGGATTCGGATTGTGAGGATGGGTCTGACGAGAGTTCTGAACTGTGCCGTAAGTGAACCTGGTGTGATGGTGTAGGCAAGCCTGTGGGGAGGAGAATTTTGACTTCTTGCCTGCTTGCAGTCTGGCTCTCCTCCTAAAGGAGGATGAACTTGTCTTGGGCGGCACCTTTCTAAGTGCTTGGCTGTGCTGGGGTCTTGAGGCGACTTTCCAATGCTTGAAAAGATGCAGAGCTGAGTGGGGACTTTGCACTTTTACTGGTAAGAGATAGCGAGTACAGGGGTTTACTCACTGGCAGAAGCAGCAAGCAGAATATGGCAGGCCAGACCATCACTGTGGCTTGTCCACCAAATCATTGCTGCTCTCTTAGGCAGCTGCTTTGCAAGTGCAGTCCCAATACTCCCAAAGCTAGTTGTAGGGATTGTCCCATGCATGTTGGGCATGGGAAGCAGTAGTCCAGAGGCTTGTCTGTGAAGTCTTGTGATTAGCAACGCCAGTCTGCAATCCTGTAATTCATCAAGGAATATAGGTCCAGGAAGTGTCATTTCTCTATATCAATAGGATCCATACTGGGGAGTACTTTAGCCCCAAGAGCATTTTGGCATTACTCCTCCTTACTACTTGTAGCTCAAGGTGTTACAGTGTAACTTGGTTGCAGCCACAAAACAATGACTACAAAGATAGTGTTAAAATATTAATCTATTAGTAATTGGAATCATTTTTTTACTGAACACTATAGAATAGTGTCACCTTTTCCATCAGTTTATATAGATGTCAGCAGCTTTGTCTAGACCTGAAGCCTTGCAAGTCTCTTTTTTCAGGACAGCTGCTGAAACCCAAGATCAGTAGGTCTTAGATTGAACTTGAACTTTTTTCAATAGATACGAGAACGTGCCGTGTAAATGAAATCAGCTGTGGTCCTCAGTCAACTCAGTGTATCCCAGTGTCCTGGAAATGTGATGGTGAAAAAGACTGTGACAGTGAAGAAGATGAAAAGAATTGTGGTAAGGACAGAAATGGTGGCTGCATAACTCTATTTGAGATTGGCTTGTCTGGAAAGGAGCTGGCTGGGCAGTATACTTGGGAAGATAATTTTTTCATAGTATCAGTATCTCTCCTACGTTCATCTTGTTTGGAGCTACTTAGAGCAAACCTTTTCTAACTCTGCTCTATCGTGCTAAGTTAAGAGGTGTACTAACGTAAGCTATTTAATGTGTGTCTTTCTTCTCTGCTAATTTTGGCAGTAGCCGTAGGTAGGCTTAGTCACCTGTCAGACCAACTGTCAGAACTTGTTCTCTGGAGAGTTTCTGAAATCGCTGCTTATATTAAGAAATTGTCTCCTGTAAAGTCTAGTGGTGACCTTTAGCTAAGGGCGTAGCTGATCTGCTTTATAGCCCTATCCTGGAATATTCTGTGAAGCTGGATTTCTGGTGTTTGGGTGGCAAGGGAGGGGGGGAACTTCAGACTGGTGCACAAGCTGAGCTGCCACTGCAGTGTTAGAGTGCAGCATTCCTGGCTTATTCAAAAGAATTTGCATACATATGAGTTGTCTGAGGTGTCCTGAGACGTGTTTGCTGTAACCAAAGCCACAGGCTTGGCTTCCATCAGAACCACCTTACCTATGGCCTAATAAGACAAAGATCTCCAGACTTTTGCTATGTGTCTGTGGATTTGCTGTCTTACTCAGCAAACAAATGCCTTAATCTGACAAGTAAATCTACAGACAGCGTTTCTAATGAGGCTGATAAAGCTATCAGCCTAGGCATACTGAGCTGCTAGCTGCATTGCTATTAAACCAGCATCATTTGTACTGACATAAATTGCATGGGTGTGCTTAACCACAGGATCAAATGGGGCAAGATCTTGATCTGTTATCCCCTCTGGTCCAGACAAATGAGCCATTGCTGTCCTGGGGACCAGCACAAAACACTTCAGTTTCAAACTAAAGTACATGTTGACTGTCTTGACTACTTTGATCTTAGTACTCTGTAAAGTTAGCAGTTCACTTCTGTCTCTGGTTCACAGAAGGTTTTCTGAAAGGCTTGCAATCTGAAGTGCAGGACAGGCTAGTTACTTAAGGAGGTTATTTTTACTCAGTAGTTCAAATCTGATGCCATCACTCATAACGTCCAATGACAGGATGGTCTGTGGAACACAAGTGTCCTGCAGGTGGTCATTTAGGCTTCCCTATTGTCTCATACAGGATACTGATCTACTGTCAGCTAACTGCTGATGAAAAACGTACAAAACAAAACATCTTCACACAAAAGCCAGCATTCTTGTGATAATGTACTAATCTCTCTTACTCCTGTTATCCCAGGCAATGTGACTTGTAGTCCAGCAGAGTTCACATGCAGCAGTGGGCAGTGTATTTCCAAGAGCTTTGTCTGCAATGGTCAAGATGACTGCAGCGATGGTAGTGATGAGCTGGAATGTGAACCTCCTACCTGTGCTGTTCATGAGTTCCAGTGCAAGAGCTCAACTTGCATCCCCATCAGCTGGGTGTGTGATGACGATGCTGACTGCTCCGACCACTCAGATGAGTCTCTAGAGCAATGTGGCCGCCAGCCTGCACCTCCTGTGAAGTGCTCTGCCAGTGAGGTGCAGTGTGGCTCAGGTGAATGTATCCACAAAAAGTGGCGCTGTGATGGAGATCCTGACTGCAAAGATGGAAGTGATGAAATCAACTGTCGTAAGTTTGCTTGGTCCTTTTCTAGGAGGTGCTGCTCGGCTCCTCTTTTATTTCCTTTACTTCAGTAAATCTGAGGAGTAAAAGTCTGTAATGGCTGTGTCCTCAGCTTCTCGGACCTGCAGACCAGACCAGTTCAGATGTGAAGATGGGAACTGCATCCATGGGAGTAGGCAGTGCAATGGTGTGAGAGATTGTCTGGATGGCACTGATGAAGCAAATTGTAACAACGGTAAGTGTGGAACTAAGCAAGAATGAAGTCTTTGCATAATAACTGTTGAAGCTGGTAGTCACCCTCACAGTCTTCATTATTGTCAGTTATTCAGTGCTCTGGACCTGGCAAATTCAAGTGCAGAAGCGGAGAATGCATAGATATCAATAAAGTGTGTAACCAGCAGAGAGACTGCAAAGACTGGAGTGATGAGCCCCTCAAGGAGTGTAGTAAGTGAATAAACAAACTCTTTGCACAATGTTGATACAGCCTCTGAGCTGTCAGGTGTCAGCTGGAATGCCTGTTGCTAGTTCTTGGGGCAAACATACAACTGAGACCAACCTAGCAAACAGGCTAGTTTTATCCAAGCCAAACTGGTCATTGGAATGATTTCTCTGTGGCCACAAGGCACTTGAATGCATGATTAGAAACAATGAAACTTCAGAAGCCTCAATCTTTGCTGCAACCTATTTGTAGCACAGAGAAGGTGCTGGTAGCTGGGCAAACATGAATTTGGGCAGAGGGGGTCTCTTGCATATGGTTGTAAGTGCTGAAATGCTTTATCAGATGTGGTAGAGATCATTAGGAAATGTATGGGTACCTGGTAAAGTGTTCCTGAACTAGGATTATAAGACTAAATTTGCATACCTTCTGAGAAGTGGCTGATTCTCTCTTCTAGACATAAATGAATGTCTGGTGAACAATGGCGGGTGCTCTCATATCTGCAGGGACCTCATTATTGGCTATGAATGTGACTGTCCAGCTGGGTTTGAGCTGCTAGACAGGAGAACCTGTGGAGGCAAGTATCTCATAGTTTAACATGGACCCTGCTGGTGGTATTGGAGGTGAGAATAAATTAAATTATTGTTGTTACAGATATTGATGAATGTCAGAACCCTGGTATCTGTAGTCAGATCTGTATCAACCTGAAAGGGGGCTAYAAATGTGAATGCAGCCGTGGCTATCAGATGGATCTTTCTACTGGGGTGTGCAAGGCAGTCGGTGAGTGTTGGCATAAGACTTTTGTATCCACACTTTAAAATGAGTCAGCAAGTGATGCACCGTTCATACTACCGTGGTTTTTATGCCAGCTGGTGTGCTACTGATGTAACTTGTACAGATCTGATCACTACTAACACTTCAAATGATGCCATAATACACTGCTTAAAGCTGCCTGACATAAACGGCTTGTATCTGCTCCCTGGGCAGGAGGTTCCTCCCCATCAAGTTGTGGAGAGAGAAAAGGGTGAGGTACGGTACAGCCAAGAGCTCTGTCAGCACCTGCCAGCAAGGGTGGAATGGCAGATACTAAATATGATGACTCCTAAAACTTTTTGTGAAACAATACATGGCTGGATATGTAAAGTAAAATAACACTTAAACTCTTTTCACAGGGAAAGAACCATGTCTAATTTTCACCAACCGCCGGGATATCAGGAAAATTGGCCTTGAGAGGAAAGAATATATTCAGCTTGTGGAGCAGCTAAGAAACTCTGTGGCTCTAGATGCTGATATTGCTGAGCAAAAGCTTTACTGGGCAGACTTCAGCCAAAAAGCAATCTTCAGGTAAGTGGACTTACATTCTGAATCTAGTGTGCTTCCCTAAATCATTGTATGTTTTACCCAAGCTATTTCCTTAGTCTGTGGTAATGAGAACAGGATTCTTGGTGTCCTAAAGACAAAGTGCAGTTGATGCAAGTTCCCACAACTAGCAGTGTGTGTGCCTATTACCCTTCCTAATAACTGCAGCCACAGCTGTGCAAAAGGCACTGTGCGGTGTCGTGTGTGTGTCTTCTGCCTGCAATCTTGTGCAGTATTTACTGAGGTGTGCCAAGGGATAGTATCTGTGGAGGAAGTGGTTGAAAGCAAGTAATTCTTGTCTTTCAGTGCCTCTATTGATACCCGTGATAAAGTCGGAACACACGTCAGAATCCTGGACAACATACACAGCCCTGCAGGAATTGCTGTTGACTGGGTTTATAAGAACATCTACTGGTCTGACTCAACTGCAAAAAGCATTTCGGTGGCTAGCCTAGATGGCACAAAAAGAAAGGTTTTGTTTTTCTCTGAGCTGAGAGAGCCAGCTTCTATTGCTGTAGATCCTATCTCTGGGTGAGTATTTGTCCTGGCTCATTTAAAAAAAGTGGACCTACCAACTGCTTCATGTTCTGATAACTGACTTAGGTAGCCTTTGTTAGTTATTGGTCATAATGAAGAGTGATACTACACAGTACTATAGTGCATCATACAACATAAATTCTGCTTCACAGCTTTATGTACTGGTCAGACTGGGGTGAGCCAGCAAAAATTGAAAAAGCAGGAATGAATGGATTTGACAGACAGCAGCTTGTGACAACAGAAATCCAATGGCCTAATGGAATTGCTCTAGGTATGTTGAACTTGTCTCTGTGCCAGAGGTATTCTGGAACTTAAGCAATTTTTTTGCTACAAAAACCAAGGTCATTCTTTAGAGAAACTATTTTCAGTTTCTGAGAAGGGGAAGTTTCTGCATGCCTGAAGACACTGCAGCAGGCATCAGTGCTTCCCAGACACTGAAGTGTAACAGGACTTCTCAGATACTGAAATAGTAACTTTGCTTGGACTGCTCTGTGTTGTAGTTGAGGCACAGGCCGCATAGGCATCACTGCAGCAGCCCTCTGTATCCTGGAATGGTAAGAAACCAGGGCAACACTGCAACCATTCTTAAACCTGTGGGTGTTTCAATTCTTGCAGGAAGCTTTGGAGGTTTCCTCCATGTAGACAGTAAATTTGTTTGGTGTTTCCTCCCTCCTAGATCTTGTAAAAAGCCGCCTATACTGGCTTGATTCTAAACTGCATGTGCTGTCAAGTGTGGACTTGAATGGCCAGGATCGTAGAATTGTGCTAAAGTCACATATGTTCCTTCCTCATCCTCTTGCTCTAACCATTTTTGAGGTAAGAACGACTTCCTATGGTCATTGTCAAAGATCCTCTTCTTGCAGGTATTTGGCAGGAATGACGGGGCTGATGGCATCATGGAGATAATGGGATACAATTACATTGTCTTCTAGGACCGAGTGTATTGGATTGATGGAGAGAATGAGGCAGTCTATGGTGCCAACAAATTTACTGGATCCGAGTTGGTTACCCTGGTGAACAACCTCAACGATGCACAGGACATCATTGTGTATCATGAGCTTGTTCAGCCTTCAGGTAATTTCAGTACAGTTTACAGCTGGGTCAGTGTGTATTTGTAAGAAGCCTGCCCTGCCTGGATGGTGGCAAATGGTGTCCCTTCACTGTGCAGCTGTGTATTTCTACTTCTGACATGGGAGTTTCAGCGCCCCATGGGGATTGAGAGGTCTGGTTGCAATTACTCTTTCTTGGGTATAAATCTATAACCAGCATGCTAGAGCAGTTACTGAGCACATTTTTATACCCCTGGAGAATGAAGACTCACTCCTGCTAATTGCTGTACCAACAGGTCGGAACTGGTGCGAAGAGAGCGTGGCAAATGGAGGCTGTAGCTACCTGTGCCTGCCTGCTCCTCAGATAAATGAACATTCTCCAAAGTACACCTGTGCATGTCCTGCTGGGTACTTCTTGCAGGAGGATGGTCTGAGATGTACAGGTACTGTAACACAACAGATCTTTCCCAGGAGGGATGGGGAAAGGAGTAGGGGAATACTAAACCTGTTGGCAGGAAGGCAGTACGGTGGTATAGGCTGACAGCTTTGCTAGAATTAATCTGATGTAATTAATCTTGAARGGGAGGGTCTTACACAGGTTCTTAAAGTCTGCAGTTGCCGTTCAAAGTCCATGCTTTGCTTCTGCGTCATCATCATCATTTGCACCCAGGCCTTGTACCTCCGTGGCTTTCTGCAGACAGCAAGCACAAGGGCGAAACATACTCAGCCCCTTGCAAAACAGGGCTATAAACTAACATGGCTGTATGTATAAATGCAGTGTTGACTAGCTAATGTTGCTGTCCAAGGAAGTTTGCATCTCCTTTTTGGTCCAGATGAGCATGCTGCTGCTACTGTTGTCAGCACTGACTATGCAGCGACTTTGTTTGTCCAGTGGAGTGGAACTAGAGACTCCAGAGTGCCACCTATTACACTGCATGTTGATTCTGACTGCCTCAGGGTGCTCAATGCAAGGATGCTGGCCTCAGCTGGCTGCTCTAGAAGGGTTGCTATGGGTATCAAAGGCTGTACCTAATCCCTAAACTTGTAAAACTAAAATCTCATTCAGAAAATAAAATGTGAGGATGTGAGGGATGGGATGGCTTGCAATTGTTGTGACTCTTAAATACTTGTAATTCATTCCTGGTTAACTGTCTGGCCATGTTCTTGGAACTACTTTTCATCAAGAACTCTCTGCTCAGGATGTGGTAGTGAAATAACTAATGTCAGTGTTCCCAGTGAAGCTAACAAGCTGCATGATCATTTCTGCCATCTGCTAAACCTTCACTACCATGGCTCTCATAGCAAAGCCATTGCAGAACTTCAGAATTAACTGATCTATAATTAGTTCTTGGTCTATAATTAGTTTCAGGTACTGGAACAGCTGTGGCTTACACTGAGGCTAAAGATACCAGCACAACAGAAAAATCTCCAACTGTTGGACTAGTTCCTGGAGGTACTGGTCCCAATAACTCACACTGCTAAACACTAGAGAAGTTAAATGCAAACTGACCAACTAGCCTACTTGGGAGTTTTCTCCTTTGCATGCAAGTAGAGAACATAGGCCAGATCATTTGTATAGTGTAACAGCTGGAGCATGTGTTAAACAGAAGTAGTTCACCTATGACAATGTGGAACCTATAGGTTCCATGAAATCCCTGGAGTGCTCAAAGAAGGCAAGCAATAAAGAAAGCTTGCTGCTAACACAGGATGAAGCATATTAGGCTGTTTTAGCAGTGTGCTGCTGAGGAGCTAATCAGATGTCAGCTTCTGGGTTTGGGAAATGCTTGCATATAACAATCTGCCAGGCTGTCAGTAAGCAAGCTCATGGCTTCAAATTCTCATGCAGGATTCAACACTAGTGGTACAACCTCTGGAGTAACTGCAGCTGGAAGAACATCAGCAGCTTGGATCATTCTTCCTGCTGGTGAGTACAGCATTCACTAGCCTTTTGAGCCCCATGTGGTGGGACAAACCACTCTTGGAGCAGAATCAGGTCAAGCTCCTATGTTTGCAATCCCTTTGTCTCCCTGCAGTATTGCTGGTGATGGCTGCAGCCGCTGGCTACTTCATGTGGCGTAATTGGCAGCACAAGAACATGAAAAGCATGAATTTTGATAATCCAGTATACCTAAAAACCACAGAAGAGGACCTCACAATTGATATTGGAAGACACAGTGGTTCAGTAGGACACACCTACCCTGCAGTAAGTAAACCTGTTCACGTGTTTGAGACTCCAGGTTAATAATCGGAATAGAAATGCTGCCAAATGATACCTGACTTCAGTCTAGGAGAGATTTCTAGTTTTGAAAGCTGCTGGCTGCATACAAACTGCTGGGCTGAATCAACTGATAAGTAATCAAGGTTAAAGATGTAGTAGGTAACCAGTGTCTATACCTGGGATGGAACAATATGTGCTGAATGGGGTCACTAGCCTGTAAAATTAGCAATGATGTGTATTGTTTTATGTCTTTTATTAGTGCAATTGTAGTTAACTTGTACTTATTTTTTTACAGATATCTGTTGTCAGCACAGATGATGATATGGCGTGAGCACTGAATCAGCAATCACTTTCAGTTTACTTGTGTCTTACACTCTTTGGGGATAGTAACCAGGTTTGTGGCTGAAGGACTTCCTCCATTCTTGGAAGAAAGAAGATACTTTCTGTATTTATGGAACACTTGTGTAAATAGCTATTTTATACTGCTTAACAACTCTGTAAATACCTGTCCACAACAATTCAGCTGTTAGTGGTTACAGTTTTATCAGTAACCCTTGGGTTGGTTAGTCAGTAACACCACTGACCAAATATAAAGCACTTTCCATAGAAAGCCATATTCCAGCCACAACTTGTAACACCTGTACATATGTCTATAGGTCACTTGTAAATAATTATTGGAAAATCACTATCAAGCACTTTGAAATACTTCAGATGTAAATTATTGTACACTCTCTTTTTCAATGATTGGGGCAATGGCAATAGGAAAAAACGGGTTACTGTGATTGCCAAAAATTTGTAAACATAAATAATTTTGTATGTAAGATTGTCTCAATCTTGTCTGTTACCTCTTAGAGGTCTACAAGAATGAACAATCTTTAAGAAACCACTGTAAAACTCAAATGCAGCTGAGGGGATAAAAATAAAACGAGTCAAGCAGTTTAAGTATTGTTCTCGATTATTACGTTAGCACTGAAGTAAAATGGAGTACCTCCTAAGTTGAAAGCTTTAGTAGACTGCACTATCTCTGCCAGACAGATCATGAAGTATTTCTTCAGTTATTTCCAGCAGTGTTTTAGGCAGCTCAGACACTGCTGACTTGCCAGGTGACAGGTTTGTTGTTGAGACTAATACTCCGCACAGAGTGAAGGACAGAGTGGGTCTCCCATCACAGAATCTCAGCTTGTCTCCTAAGTTAGGACTGACACTGGCTAAACTTACCCAAGCACTATTGCAAGCTCGTAAGAGGCAGCGTGGCAGACATTGAGATGGAGTCAGGCTGGAGCGTGGTCTGCCAGGTGAGTGTGAGATCCTTGCGGAGTCAGGCTGTTGGCAGCGACTCCTCATGGCAATGCCAGTGAAGTCAAGTGGTGGTAGTTGCTACACTTGCAGGAATGTTAGAGTTGTGACTTAGCAGCTGATCATGGAGGTTTAGTGCTGACAAGCCCCATGTTGCTACATGGGTAATGACAGAAGTCCCCTGCAATGGGCATTAATAGGCTACTGTCCCCTTCCCTAGAGCAACTCAGTTAATTGCAAGGGCTCTGAGACACCAATCACTTGACATGCTGGAACCTCTTGGGAGACTGTAGGAGTGAAAAAATACATGGTACAACTGTTCTGGGTCTGGGAAGATGATACTCGTCTCTGATAAAGTGTTTAGTACCATGCTGCTTGAGTGCTCATTTTAGTAGCACCAGGTATGTTCCTTATTCGCCGTACGTGTGTAGCTCATTCCTGCAATAGAGAAGGATTAAGGCTGAATTAACATGTAGATTCTGTAGTTTTCAGGCGTTTTGCTGTGTGGTCAAATCTGGAGTAAAGAAAGATAAAGCTTCTGATCTTTATGACAGAACAACTTGGTATCTCCAACTTAGAAAAGGTAGATTCCCTGGTCATTACTAGTTTCCTTAATGACAAACTAACTTTTCTGTGATAAAATTCATTTGTCTCCTGAGACTAGGATCTTGGCCAGAAACTGCCAGCCCATAGCTTTTGTAGTATGAGGTACTAGTTGAGTCTTGGTAATGCTTCCCCCTTCAAGGTAAGGAAAAATGGAGGAATGCAGTTTCAAGGCTAAGACACAGTTTGGAAGAGGCAGTAATCCCCTGGCTGTTCTTTGGTGATGACTTGTGAAATCATTCTCAATCAATCAGATCTCTAAAATAGTAACAATGCAAATTATGGAGTCAGAAGTTGGATCAGTTCCTGGGCTTGTTTCTAATGCCTGTTCTCATTGCAGTTACAGCTGGGGTCTGTTTTCTTTAATAATCTTCTTGTATTGTGGACTCTTACTAACAGATGAGGACAGCTGCCAACTTGTGCAGATTTAAAATAGCTTATTTCTAGCAAGTTTATAMCTCTTTGGGGAGTTGAAGATTCTAACCAGCTGTCCCAGGAAACTCCTGACTACAGACATTTTAAGATATCTAGAACACATGTGGACTAAATAGTCTTGCAAAGATTGGGATGCAAGGGGGCCTCTAAAGTTTTTGGCTAGCAATACCGTATCTATTTTATCAAGCACTTTTTGGGATAAAGTGCCTTTCACAGCTGCCTAGTATGTAAGGTTCATGAGTTAGAATTCAACTTTTTCAGTTAGCGTTCCTTCTCTGGAGACTCTGAATTATTTGTGTTTAAATGTGGCAAAACAGAAAATGTAATTCTCAGTCAGATGGCTGATAATAAATTCACAGGGCAGCTAATTACAGGCAAAATGTTCTGCCTTCACAGTCTTTGTACAGAAGAATAGCTCTATTTTTATGATGATGTTCATTTCTCTTACAAGTATCATACCAAGTATATGAGGAGATGTAAGGAGAGACTAGTAAGACCAATAAAGACATTTTTTCTGAGGTTAATATTCATTTAAGTAGCAATTTCAATCTATTTTGGGAACCTGAGGCAGTTTTTACAGATGCTGTGGGCTCTTTGAATTTGTTTTCTTCTCCAGTGTTCTGAGCAAAGAGCAGTGCCTTGACACACAAAATTAGTTCCTGTAGTCTAGAGGAGACTTAACACTTTACCAGATAAAACTTCCATGCTTTCGTATAGCAGGAGGGAGGAGTGGAGAATACAAGGCAGTAGCAGGGGATGATTTAAGGATGGCCTGTACTTACTTGCAARTATTGCTTGGGTTTTTTGTCTCACTAGGTTTATTCTTCTCTGCCCCTCTTCATTTTTGTGCTAGGAAATCCTTGTTTACTTCCACAGCAGGCTTAGAGAGTAGTTGAGGATTCCTTCTGTAAAAACTGATCCAAGTTGCATTGACAAATACCTTACTCCTTTTGAACAGTGTTTTTTCCCTGCCATCTGGAAGTGTTTGACTCTGTTTTTCTCCTTGTCATATGACTTTTTTGGCATCTAATGAAGGTGCTAAAGCTGTACTCTTGCAGCAGCACCGTGTGGCTGTGCTGGTGTCCACTAAAGGAATTCTCGGTGATCATCCCTGTCTCAGCTCCACTGCTGCAGTCTTGTGATATCACAGAGCAATGAGACACTGATAATATCTTTGGTCAGATTTCACTTGAGTTGACTTGATACTCCTGAAGAATTTTCTGCTAACAGAAAAAATATGGCTTTAGTTAGTTATTATTAGTTATTAACTATGCCAAGGTAATGGCATAGTTTTTGTTTCCCAGAGGACTGTATAAGCCCTCTGGTTCTAAATACTGTCTATTTCAGTTCAGTGTCTGCTAGCCGATGTGAGTGCAAAGCTAAATTTGAATCTGCCTTCTTCTTTCCCTTATAAACATGCAAATTTCTCTTAATACACTCCCTCTGCTCCTGCTTTTTTTTTCTGCCTCCTATTTGATCTGCCTTTGTTTTTACAGCACTGTAAATATTTTACAAGGGAAATTAACATAAAGGGAATTGATGCTGCTCATGTGATTTTCTTCTTCTTCTGCACTTCATTCCTCTACAGATAGCTACAACTATCCATTCTCCAACCCAACTTGTATTTGCCTGCATTTTTTATGAACATACCTTTTTTGCAATCAGATCTTTGCTGAAGAAAATTTATCTATTTTTAAGTGCTGAATCTTGCTAGATTAGGAAAAAAAAGTACAGAAATAAAGACTTAGGCTGGAAGAAATCATGCAGGAGTCCTGAGATAAAGGAGAAAAGCATACATGTACAGAAGCACTTTTCACAACCTGGATGCAAGTGGAGGCCTGCCAGTACTTTCTGTAGATGTGGCACAGTATGTCTGTGAAGAAATGTGCTCCTATTCCTTCTGTGAGGCAGCTCATGACAGTGGTTGGTATTGTCACCTGCTGGAAGAAGGTGTTTGGAGAGGTCTGTCTGCTCTGTTGAAGTTGAAAAGCCAACTTTCTGCATTCCTGGCTTGCTGGGTTTTGCTTTTCCTCTGCTGGAACAGCTTTGCAATTTGCCCATATCAAATGAAAAATTCTTCAGAGTAGGGGAGGGGCAGCCAGGCTGTGCAATGTTAGGCTGCTGAATATCCCAGGCTATTGAACATCTGACCTAAAGATTGCCTGTGGAAAGAAGGATGGTCTTAATTCTCATGTGCACAGCCCTGGGACAATTCCTCACCTCTGTCAAGCAATGGAAAATGCTTCATATCATACATGAAAAAGCCCCAAATACAACAACGTGAACAGGTAACTGAAGGCTAACTTCACTAATGCATTCTTTGGTATGTAATGAATTGCTTGAGCACAGGAAACACGAAACATTAAATCAAGAAAAATGACTGRGGAAAACACAACACATTTCATAGAAATGAGGTTTTGCTGTGGAGATGTCCTCTGTAGAAAAAATAGGTTTTAGGTAATTTTTTTCCTCTTCCCTAGACATGTTTTACTAGAGTCAAACTTCAAAATACATGGAAATGTTTTATTGTACTGTCAGTGCATGGATTTAAAGTTGATAGCTGGATAGCAACATAAAAAGATTAACTTAATATTCAGAACACTTGTTTCCTTCCATGGGAAAGTATTTTGGAAAGGCCTCTTGGAAAGGCTGATAATTGAATACAGTCGACACCCCAACCATGTAGAAACAGTGCTGTCTGTTCTATGTCCCCTTTGTGGATGTGTGCAGCTGAGAAGTGATTTGGACAGGTTTTGGGGTTTTTTTTTCCTTAAACATATAAAAGCTCATATGTGCATTTAAATGAAGACTTTCAAGAAAGTTATATTGTGATTTGAAATTCCTTAGTGTATTGTGGCTGCTACTGTCTAAGTGACAAATAATGTGAGTCTCACTCTTTGGCTTTTGCCTCTACTGGTAAAAGAAATTAATCCCATGAACTTTACACATAATGACCCCTAATAAAGCCTCAGTACAACATTCAAATTACATGTGCAATATTCATGCAGTACCACCTTGGTCATGCTCGTTTTTATAGAAGAAACATTGTTTATTCTTTAATTAGACAGCATTCAACCCACTGCCCATCTCCCCCAACATTTTTTGGTTAAAGAATAGGTCAAAGCCTTTTGGAGGCAGGGGAGAGTAGGAAGATGGTGTCCATAGAATTTATGTGTAAGTTGTTGATTCCGATCCATACGTGTTATCAAGTTCCTCATACCAGCTAAAACCTGGCAATTTTGTAATTGTAATGTATGTGTCTCTCAGAAATGGAGCTTTAACAATTGCTTGGACGGCAGTGTGCAGCTGACTTAGACTGTAGCAAATAGAGCTGTTTGTTCCTAGCCCTTTGTCTTTCTGGCAGCCTGGTCGCTGGTTTAATTTATGTAAGTGAACGCAGAGGAAGAAAACTTGTAAAACTGCTTACTTGCAGAGAGCATAATTCAAATGATGTCATGAGAACTGTATTTCAGTATTTGATACAGTGCATCCATTTGAGAGAAAAACCTCTCAAAAAAGCCATTTTTTCGCCACCTTAGGTTTCAGGTGTAAATAGCTACTGGCTGCTGAAGACTAACATTTTGTTAGCTGTCTTTATAATTCAAATGTCACAGGCAAGCAATGGATATTCCTAGTTACATTACACCACCTGAAAGTCGCTTATTGACCATCAAGAATCTCTCGAAGAAGCCTGTTTAGTGCTCTTTGTGTAAACATGACAGACATCACTTTCTCTAGGAACTACCCCAATACTCTGGAGTGGATCCTTCTAAGTGCTGAACACTGAAACAGTGTGACCTCTGCAAGCGGCTGTGAAGTGTAGCATTAATAATTAGACCTGACATTTATTTCGTTCTTCTCCTCATCTGACACTTCAGTAGCAGTTAGGTAATTTAACACTAAGTGGCAGTTTTTTACATTGCATTGTAGGGGCAACTGAGAAAGTGAATCTGCCTTTAAATTACCTCAAGCAGTCAGCCTGGTCATTAGGAGCCTAATAACAATGTTAATGAATCAGTGAAGAATTGAAATAATCACAACTTGTATAAATCAATTAATTATTTTCATAGCCTGTTGTCCCTGTAGGGAAGAAGTGAAACTTCACAGTCTGCTTCAAGGGACAGGGCTGAGCCAGGAGTCTGCTGCTGTGGGGAGGCCAATCCTTAACACAGAAGATTCCAGCACCTCTGGTGCACTTAGATATGCGGCAACTTCCCCTTTGCCTGCACTTCCTCTTTTAGCTGTTTTTAGCAGACTGTTGATGCTGTAAAATAAGGTCTTCGGTGTTAGCCATAGATCACAGGAAGGAATCTGACCCAAATTCATAGCAATCAGAAGCAACTGCATAGGTAAATCCAAGAACAAAGCAAGATATGCAGAACCCCCACTGCTCATGTAGCAAAAGGTAGGGCAACCGAAATAGCACGCAAAGTTTGGGAGGCCTCCAGCAGGCCTGCAGCAACATCCTTAGGTGCTCTTTGAAGGAGGAGTCCCTGGCAGCAAGTCTAGGSCTTATGGAAAGGCTCCAGCCCTCTTCTGAGGGCAGTGTGCAATGTCTCATCCATCTGTTGAAACAAAAGATCAAGGTCTAATGGTCAGGCAGAAGGACACCCTGTGTTATTTAGGATTTTCAAAAATTAAAAAGTGGAGCAACACATTGAAGACAAGAGCATAAAACCAGTTTTAGTTAAAGGTGAAGCTGCGGTATTAACTCTTCTTGCCGGGAATCCTTCTCAGTAGAAGCTGTTATTTTATGAGCTACATTAAATACCATTCTGTAGTTTGACTAGAAATGAAAGTCCACATGACAGCTCAGCTGTTAAAATTATGACAATTAGAAGGGTCATAACCAGGCAATATCAGAGAATATACATTAACAATTATTTACTTTTTCTTCTTTGTTACAAATAGGAAGGAAATCAAATCAATGCCTTTTCAGCTTGACAAATTTATAGCTTGACTTGSTAGAACTTACAGTTTGATTTTAAAAGCAGTACACGGGGAAGTGCACTGACAAAGAGCCCAGTTGACTTAGTACAATGTTCTTGAGAGAGGAAACAAAACTCCGAGAAATCCTCAGCCTGGCACAGAAGAAAATGCCTCACTCAGCAATTTATCTTAAGCACACAAGCTGACACTGTTAGCTACAAAGAGGAATTGTCCCAGGATCCCTTGGCACTCCAGAGTTTCTGTGCGCCAGTCCATCATATTTGGTTGTTTAAGCTTCATGGACCTTGGAAGTACAACCAGACGAAACAGTCCTGTGCTTTCTAAGGAGTCACAGCTGCCTTCAGATTAGGTACGTATGAAAGGCTATTAAATAGCTCATGTGGTAAGTAAGCGGAAAGTGGGTTGCTTTCATTCTGCTATTTGTTTCCTGTGTCATTTAAGGCAAATCTCTTCTATGCCTCAGCCTTCCCGCTTGTACCAAGTCACGGGGCTATTGCAAATGTTAACTAGAGCTTGTAAAGCCCTAGGGGAATGGTGGGTGCATGCATATATCCGTACTCATACGCAGAAGCACACGTGTATAAGCAGTTTTCAATTCAAGATGCCCAATGCCCTCATTTAACCAAATTTTAGCAAAGACCTGAGGTGGGTTGTTCTAGTGTTCTGCCCTTGTGGTTATCCTGGTGGGCAGTGTAGGTGATTTTCCTGGTTTCAGCCAAGGGTTAATCTTTTGCAATAGCCAAGAGTGGACTGATGATATTCCACATCACCTCAGGTCCTTGCCTGGGGCAGGGAAAGGGACTCTTATTTCCAAGAAGGGTGTGATTCCTGGTTGGGAGAAAGCATGGCGGGGAAGAGCTGGTGAGGATTCCTTGTGTACTCCTGTAAATAGTTTCTTTGTTTTACCCGTTTTGACATTAATGTTGTTGTTATGGTTCATTTTCTTATCTCATTGCTGTTTCCAGTAAATTGTTCTTACTTTGACCCATGATTTTCATCTCTTGTGTGTCTGATTCTCCTCCCCATCCTGCTGGAGCAGAAAGCTGGAGGTGAAGGGGAAAAGTAAAGTGAGAGAGAGTGTGGATTGGGCAGTTTTGGTGGCGGTATTGAATTGGGAATAACAATTCCTAAACCACAGATGTGCACCATAAGGATATTTGCTTCTCTGTTAGTTGTAAGATTTTGTATAAAATATGCTGTGCTAAAGGAGAAAGCAGAAATTACATATGTATGAAGTTAAATCCAACCACATAAATTGTGTATATATTGATTCCGTAAGAGATACAGCACTGTCCAAGATGCAAACAGCATGTTTGAAAGACACAGAAAGAGTAAGCACAAAATGCTGTGTTATTAACTGAAGTTCAAATAGCCATGGAAAACTCACTGGAGGTCATTTTGTACAGCCCACTGCTCAGAACATGGCTACTTTCAAAGCTAAATCAGGTTGCTTGTCTGGGCAAATTCTGAGTTTGCAACTTAGATCAGATATTATTACTCAGTTTTAATTAACATTTTTATGATGCTAGTGTCTTTTAGCAATGAGTTGATAAAGCTTTCTGGTACAAGGAAACAAAACAAGGCATTGTTCTTTGAAAAGAGAAATGGACCCAAATGCAGATGTCAGCCATCAGAGTGAGTAAAAGAAGTAAATTCTTTGGCACAACTAGCATAATCCTTTTGATGAAAATAATGTATTTCAAGACTAACTTTAGTGAGCTTTGTAGGTTGACATGC